AAAAAATGAGGCTTGAGTTGAAACAGTGCCAGGCAGATCACCACCCCCTGAGTTAAATGACGTGAGTGAATTAATCATTAAAGAGAGGGAGGCAGTCAGGTGTTGCCTGGTTCAGTTCTCCTGGCTGTTGACCAGCTATAGATGTTCCTTATTATCCTAAGGTATTTTATAGATCAGCCAAGAGCCATGCTTGTCAGTCTTATTACACCTCATCTTTAAAATCAGGAGTCATAGCACACTTTTTGGTGTGTCTCTAGCCATTTCCTGAGAAGGGAAGAACAACCAGGGTTTTATCTTGAGTTGTAGGCTTGCTAGCTGAAACAAAAGGTTCATTTGTAAATCGAAAGTAGCAGTTTCCTTAATATCAAGGCATTTACATTTGATTTTGTGGTAGTCTTTGTACAAGTTCAGGTGCTCCACTGGTTTCACTTGTAATTAGAATTTTGCTAGTAAATTCACTGGTGGTTAAAATTTGTGTTCCGTGCCTCAGAGTGAGACATCTCCTACTTAGTCTTAACATCATGCAGAAGATTTGTGCCATCTGTGCAGTGGGCTTTTTGAGCAGTACAATTCTGATTCATTATTGCTTTGTCATGTGATAGAAAATATGCTTCTCTTTACTAGGTCATGTATTGAAAGATATATTAAAGTATTTCCCAAAGTTTAATATCTTTAGTAATACAGTGTCTCAATACCATATAAAATATAAGAGATAAAATAAATTTGATTTAGAGTTCAAACAATACAAATAATATGGGCAATATGTTTAAAGTTTTAAGTGATTTATTATCAGCCTTTTTACTCTGCCTGTTACCGAACACTAAAGTGTTTCCTTTAAATTTTTTTATAGCTGAGGCAGATATACATCACAGCAGTTATACTAAAGAGGGGACAGATAACACAAACTCTTCGATGCCTTTGGTATAATAGAGTTAAAACACTTAGTATATTAAAATAGTTGTTCTGATTTTAAATGATTGGTAATAGTGATACCAATCTTGTGTCAAAAGATTAACTGCTGTAAGATAAAAACTGCTATATTTTTAGTAAACTTTTTCTTCCCTATATTTAAAACTAAAATGGAAAGCACATACTTAGGGATAGCAAAGAGATAATTCACAATTGATTTTAATTTTAATTTCACTGTAATTGGTGAATTAAGAACAACCACCTGTGCTATTTAATGAAACTATTAGCACAAACAGGCTAAAAGCTGAGGAAAATGAAAACAGACTTTTGCACAGTTTGCAGGACCCAGTGCAGAGGGAAAAAGGGGACTAAGGAAAATTCATGACCTTTCCTCACAGCTGCTTCCAGCAGTGGAGGACATTTTACCCAAGAGTTAGCATTTAGTAGCTTCAAGCTGCAGACAGCCATTTTTGGGGTAAGTCCTGTTTATTATATGCAATACAAAATGCTTCTGCAGTGCTAAGGTTAAGGTTTTTGTTGTGCAGGTATTTGAAGTTAGCACAGATTATTTTTTCCTTTTTCCTCCCACCTCGTCTCCCCAATAACCCTATATATTATTTAATGCATCTTGGCCTATTTTGACATAGGGAAATCTCTTGCCTTTTAGTGATTTTTTTTTTTAATATTTATTTATTTATTCATACAGAACTGGGGTACAGGCCAGAGGCTCAGGGGCGGTGAGAGGCTTCACCAGAGACAGAGTGGGGAGCAGAACAGGCAGATCGACGAAGTACACTGCTGAGGGGAGCAGCGGGCGGGTCAGGAGAGGTCTGGCTCGCCATGTGGTCTCCTCCGGGGCAGGCGGCAGGCGGGAATCGAACTCATACGGAAGTGGCTTCAGATTCTCAGTGCTGTGCTTTAACCCGCTGCGCCACCAGGGAGGGCCTTTAGTGATTTTTTTTTAAAGATTTATTTATTCATACAGAACTGGGGTACAGGCCAGAGATGTGGAGGGTGAGAGGGTTCACCAGAGACAGAGTGGGGAGCAGAACAGGCAGATCGACGAAGTACACTGCTGAGGGGAGCAGCGGGCGGGTCAGGAGAGGTCTGCCGCGCCATGTGGTCACCTCCGGGGCCGGGGCAGGTGGGAATCGAACTCATGCGGAAGTGGCTTAAGCTTCTCAGTGCTGTGCTTTAACCCGCTGCGCCACCAGGGAGGGCCTTTTAGTGATTTTTTAAAAAATTGTATTTCAATAGATAATTTGGAGAATTTTTGTAGCAAATTATTTGAACCCAAAGGTTTTTTTCTTTCTTAAAAACTATAATGGGGGCCCTCCCTGGTGGCGCAGTGGGTTAGAGCACAGCACTAAGAAGCTTAAGCCACTTCGGCATGAGTTCAATTCCCACCCACCCTGGAGGATCTACATGGTGCTGCAGACCTCTGCTGAATCGCCCACTGCTCCTCTCAGGAGTGTTCATCAGTTGGTCTGTTCTGCTCCCCACTGTCTCTGTGAATCCTTTCACTGCCCCTGCACCTCTGGCTTGTACCCCCAGTTCTGTAATGCATAAATAAATAAATCTTAAAAAAAAAACTATAATGGGCTATAGAATGGTATACTTTTTATTTTATATACACAGGCTGAATTTGACTTTATTTTATATATATAGGCTGAGTTAGCTGACCTGCATGGCTAAGCATTTGGCATTGCATTGGCAGTTTTTTTGGCATATAATATATTTTGATTTGGGCTGGGGAAAAGGAAAAATAAATGATCTGATAAAGTCTCAATATATTGACCTGAAGATTTGGTTCACTGGAATTGGAATTCTTGAATTAATGGAGTATAAAATCTAGACATGATGATCTTTTCTTTTAAAATAATATAAACCTGGGACCTCCCTGCTGGGACAAGGGTTAAGTCTTAGTGCTACCAGGCTATCCCCAGCCAAGGAGCTGACCCACCTCTAGCCCAGCAGACCTCTCCTGACTGGCCCACTTCTCCCCTCAGCAGTATATTTCAGTAGATCTTCCTGTTCTGTTCCCCACCCTGTCTCTGGTGAATCTTCTCACCCCCTGCACCTCTGCTTACATTCCAGTTCTTATAAGTATAAATAAATAAAAATAAACCCTAAAAAAAGAGTAAGACAATTAGAAACCCAATCTTTTTAAAATGTAGACAGTAACTTTAAAAAAGTATAGAGAAAATAATTACTTGATTAGTTGGTTAAATGAATTTATACCAAATAGTGACCTGGTAGCACGTCAGATATTGAGGCAAAACTATCTTTAAGCATCTCACCCTTATGTTCAAAAAGCCAGTGAAGTTTTCTGTTGTTTGCATTTACTGTATTAAAATAATTTATCTGTTCATGATAGAGCTTTAAAATTTGTAATAATTATCAATCTTTTTTTCTACATTTTTCAGAAATGGACACCATATGTTATTATGTGTGGTGATTCTAATTGTAGGGTTTCTTAGGCTTTACAGGGATGGGTAGTCCTGTTAGAATCTTTGGGTGAGGATGTGTGTTCTTTGAAAAGGTTCCTCTTCCCTAACCACTCCATTGTAAGGAAGACAAATTTGCATTTTAGTCAGAACCACAAAGAATATTCCAATTTTTGGAAGTAATTATACTCTCTAACCCCCTAAAATTAAAAAAAATCCCGTTGTGAATTTTAAATAGCCCATGAGGGAAAGAAAAAAATTAATTTAAATTAAACATGACAGTATAATCAGACCAGAAATTTTATCATTACGTGGAAGTATGTGTGTTTATTGCCAGGAATGAGAAGTATTTGTCTCTAGAGTATATTGAAAATGCCTTAAGCAGAGGAGTTTATTCATGTGCTGCAATGAATAAATCACTGGGGCACTTCTCAGTTAGATAAGCAAGCTCAAAGTTTTGAAGAAGCTGACAGATAACAAGTAGTGGTTCTGTCCTTCTATAGGGCATACTGCTGTCTTTTGAGATTCCAGGCTATGTCTGTGATTGTCACCTGTGATTTTTTTCAGTACCTATTGTGAAGCAGACTTGGGAAAGCCAAGCGAGTTTCATTGAATACTACAGTGATCATGCAGAAAGTTCGATTCCTACAGTGGATTTAGGAATTCCTAATACAGAGAGAGGTGGGTCCTGATTTCTTATTACTTCTCTTGTCCAGAATGTCCATTCTATAAATGTAGTAAATTAAAGTAGGATAAAAGTGAAATCTTTTATAAATACCCTAATTTTTGCCTCATGTAAATTTTTCTCTCCTTCCCTCCCAACAGTGATATCCATGGATACATGTTAATTCTTTCAGTTTAAGAGCTGCTTTATAGTACCAACAAAGGTTGGCAGTTTTTAGTAGGTCTTGATGGCAGTGGAGTGCATGACAGTTTAGAGTTTAACAATAGATTAAAAAAAAAAAAGTCTTATAATTCATCATGGCCATGAGGCTAAATTTTCTCACACAAAACTTACCATTTAACTTTAGCAATTTTACCAACCGGGATTATTGTTTGATGGCTGAACTCCAGCCACTGCCAGGCACTGAGGATATAGGAAAGAATCTGAACATTTCCTGTCCCCACAGGGTTTTATAGTTCCCTCTGAGTTACACTTACCCATATTTGACACTGGGTGTGCAATATGGACGCTATGATAAATACACTTTTAGATCTCAGTATTCATATTTAAGTTAGTAAGTTGTTAGAAGTGTACTTGCTTTTCTTTTCAGATTGCAGGCTTTCTAATAAAAACAATTGTTATTTAAAAAATGAAATTTGGCCACCTCACCTTCAGATGCCCTTTGTTGATTTAATTTTTATCTAGTGTTGCAACCATATTTTTCATTTAGTTTTCTGGTTCTCTAAGCTCTTTTGTGAATTGAAAAAGTAATAGTAGTAAGCTGATTACCTTGTTTTAGAGGGTAATTTTTTTTTTATGGTAGTCTCACAGTGCCTTTTGTTTGATAAGGTACAACATAGTATTGGACATGCCATTTTTATAGTTATCAGTTAAGTATATACTGAGTTTCTGTTATTGTTTTTTAAAAAATTGATTTTAGATTGAATATTTGTTAGTAGCTCTTGCCTTTTGGACTTAAGTTGAGGTTGGCTAATAATCATTTATTCATGCCATCTTTAATTTTTTCATCACAGTTTTAGTCTGACCTTATTTTTATTTATATTTTTTCTACTTTATTAAACAAGAGATTGAGATTATTTTCAAAAATATATACCATAATACAAACACAAAATGAAGTCAAGAATAAAGAAAAGTCTTATTGACTGGCTTACCAGTGATTTGGTAATATTTAATTAGTTAATGTTATTGTCACCAAATGCTTTGTTAAAATGAGAGGAATCTTCCTATTTTTTCACTGAATTTACTTACATTTTTTTTTTTATTAAAAAGTTTATTTTGGGCCCTCCCTGGTGGCGCAGCGGGTTAAAGCACAGCACTGAGAATCTAAAGCCACTTCTGCATGAGTTCAATTCCCGCCTGTCCCGGAGGTGACCACATGGCGTGGCAGACCTCTCCTGACCCGCCCGCTGCTCCCCTCAGCAGTGTACTTCCTCAATCTGCCTGGTCTGTTCCCCACTCTGTCTCTGGTGAAGCCTCTTGCTGCCCCTGAGCCTCTGGCCTGTACCCCAGTTCTGTATGCACAAATAAATAAATCTTTAAAAAAAAAAGTTTATTTTTACATAATTTTGCACATTTTTTTTTTCATCTCAATTGTAATCCCCACAGGTTTCCCATCACCAAATCACCCCTGTGCCACCACCATAGTCCCGTGCATTTCCCTCCCTTCCCCCCCCGGCCCCGTTTTTGATCTCATTCCCCACTCCACCCCCACAGAATGTCTCTGGTCTATGGTTGTTCATTATTTTTGTTATTTTCTCGCCTGGTCCATTATACTCCTGCTATGAGTGAAACCATCCGGTATTTTTCTTTCTCTTTCTGGCTTATCTCACTAAGCATGATCTTTTCCAGCTCCATCCAAGTTGCTGCAAAAGACATGTGTTTCTCTTTTTTGGTTGTTGAGTAATATTCCATTGTATATATGTACCACATCTTTCTAATCCAGTCATCTACTTTTGGGCATTTGGGCTGCTTCCATGTTTTTCCAATTGTAAATAAAGCAGCAATAAACAAGGGGGTACAAGTATCTTTTTCAATCAGTGTTTTTGTGTCTTTTGGGTAGATACCTAGGAGTGGGATTGCTGGGTCATAGGGAAGCTCCATGTTTAGCAGTTTGAGGAACCTCCAAACAGTTTTCCATAGTGGTTGTACTAGTTTGCATTCCCACCAGCAATGCAGGAGAGTTCCTTTTTCTTCACATCCTCGCCAACATTTGTTGTTGCTAGTTGTTTGAAGATGTGCCATTCTCACTGGGGTGAGGTGGTATCTCATTGTGGTTTTAATTTGCATCTCCCTTATTACCAGTGATGTTGAACATTTTTTCATATGCCTGTTGGCCATCTGCATTTCCTCTTTGGAGAAGTGTCTTTTTAGCTCTACTGCCCATTTTTTGATGGGGTTGTTTACTTCATTTTTGTTGAGTTTCATCAGTTCTCCGTATATTTTTGTGATCAGTCCTTTATCGGAATTTACTTACATTTTATTTGTATCCTGCTCCTAGCATTTTCCACTAAAGCACAGTCATTTATCTATTGGCTTCTGAAGGAATATAACTCTGTTGTATTCAGTACTTTAGTGCATGTCTTAGACCCTGCCACAATATCTAGCATATTACAAACTTAGTCACAAATATTTATAAAATAAATGAAAATATAATCTACTTTCACACCATCGCTTGCATTTGGAATTCTAAAAGCTTCTTCAGAATAAGTATATCTAAAAAAACAGACCAGGTTTATATAATTTCTCTGAGGCATACAGCTATCTTGTTTGTCTGGAGTGAAGCTACTCCTACCTCTGCCTCAAATTAGCCATCCAACCTTGTGTAATTCCTCCTATCTCTAGGTCTCCATTTCTTCATGGATGATATGAATGACTTAAGTTCCTACTGGTGTACTATGCTTAAGAAATTAGGAAAGGCTACTTAAAAAAAATGTGAAATTGGCCCTCCCTGGTGGCGCAGCGGGTTAAAGCACAGCACTGAGAATCTAAAGCT